AAAACATGGAAGATCAGCATGATAACAAATAAGTGTTATCTTGATCAGTTGAAAATACGTCAAATCTAACCCTTAAAAATTTAACAAAGAAAGTAGTCGAAAAGCCGATAAAAAAGATCAAATACGTGTCAAAAGATAGGAAAATATATTTTAAAGGCAAAGAAAACTTGTTATTAAAGCAGAGTTAAGGAGAAACTAAAAAATGAAAGGAAAAATAATAATGTAATATAGAAGACTGAGAAAAAAAATATAAATATCAACAACTAATGACTAACACTAAAATTGATGTCATGACAATCCAAGAAAGATAAAAAGTAAAAATAAACGACTATGTAAACGTGAGAGAAAACTAGAGTTTTTACCCTATCAACAACTGTGTATGAGGTTATTTCTATTAACATGTTTAATTGTATTTATAGATGATATTTTTTTCCATTTAATGTAAAAATAAATACCTAAAATGTAACCAAAGTTAACTTTAAGTAACTAAAGAATTTTCGTTAAAAATATATGACTAATGTTTGTGATGTTACACTTTTAGACACTTGGACTGTAACGATCATTAAATTCAGTCGTTAAGTAATACATGTCATACTTATAAAATTTTATTTAAAAAATGCTTAAAATTATTATTTAAAAAATTTAATATTTTCTAAAATTATAAAAAACCTAAAAATTTTAGGGGGGAACTCAAATTTCAATCCTTTTAACCCTAGCTTCTTCTACTATTGTCGTCGCGGATGTCAACTCATCACCATCGTCACTATAGGTGTCATTGGTCAAAGGCCAAATGGAACAGAAACCACCCTACCGTTCGCACAGCAATCACACCATCCCCCATCATTCGCATAATAATTCCTAACCCTCGAGTCATTCGCGACAATTGAAAATCACCCTCCCCAACGACGTTAAAAGTGAAATTCGCTACATATAAAAACTAAGTAGTGTGAACGCAAAAACTCCCCACCCCCTATTAATTCTAAATGTTAATGGTCTACCGCGTCATGTCAATTTGAGTTTAAATTTAATGTTCGGCGAAGGAACTGGTGACCACAATATTTCCATGTTTGGTTGGTCGGGAATCTCATTCCTGGTAATATTTTATTACCAATAGTAGATTTTTTTGGGTATATTACTGGGAATGTCATTACCTCCCTTCCCTTAGGTATTGTAACATTACCTGCGTTTTGGACTAAAATGCCCTTAAATTATTATTTTTTTTCAAAAATATCCTTCTTCTGTCATTGAATAATAAAAATTCTACGAATGTTAAATTACAAATTTATCCTTAAATTATTTTAGATTTACAAAAAAAAATCTATAATTAAAATTTTATATGAAGTTCAGGGGTTAAAAAAAATTTACCTTTTCATTAAACCTTTTTTATATTTTTAATTTTGTAAAAAAAAATTATATAAATATTATGAATTTAATTTTTTAAAGAAAATATATAAATATTTTACAATTTGTAATATTATACAAATATATAATAAGGACAATTTGGTCAAATATACATTCCAATAATCTTTTATTCCTTTAACCAAAAACGGTAATCTTACATTCCTGCTAAACCAACCAAACACAAAATACAACATTCCCAGTAATCCTATTCCCTGGTAATCTTTTATTCCCACTAGTAATCTTACATTCCGTGAACCAAACGCACCCTAAATGGAATTAGATTTGAAATTATAATGGTTTTTAAAAAATATATATATTTTTTAAATAAAATTTCATTTTAAGTTTTTTTTAAATTTTAAAATCAAATTTTATAAACATGACATATGTCATTTAATGATTAAATTTAACGACTATTACCGTCCATACATTTAAAAGTGTAACATTGAAAACGTTAGACATCTATTTTTAACAAAAAAAAATCTTCAATCACCAAAAGTTAACTTTGAGCACTGGCACCAAAAGTTAGCTTTGGGTATAATTTGAGCACTGGCTTTTTACATTTAACCTTTTTTTTTAACAAAAGAGAATATTTAGTTTTATTAAAAATTAAAAAATATTCAAATTATAATTAAAGTTTACCACCACAGTTGTAAACTAAAACACATAATGATAACATTTTCTTATAATCATAACACATGAAGCTAACCACTTTAATATATGTTTTCATACATTTAAAATATTATATTTTAATATTCATATTCAAATATAAATCAAATACATATTATAAAAAATAACATATGATACAAAAAATATAAACTCCGTCAATAATTTAGAGAAGTGGTTAAAATTTCTTAATTGACATTTTGTTTCTTTCTAAGTTGCAAGTTAAATACTCATTATGAGCAAAAATTCTCCCTTCTTCACACCCGTGTAGAGACAATGCAGTCCCCTAGCTGCTCCGACACAAAATTCCAGCCTCGGTTTTCTTGAAAAGTCGATTTCTTGTTGTCGTAAATAAGCTCCCCGAAAGCCGCTGGACCTCTGTCGGTTGCTCCGACTACAACGTAATCGTTCTTGGGCTTAGATTTCGAGATATTATTGTACCAGCTTTAATAGGACGTCCACGGATGAACTAGAAATACAAGGATCATTATTGTACCAACTTGTCAAAAGGCTACCAACGTCCTTCCCTGGAGGAATGGATCGTCCACCAACATCGTCTCTGAATTCTCACCCGAAACGTCGACATTGTTCTCTGAAACCATGTCATTGCAACCGATAACATACATCATCCCGAATAAGTTTGGCATCGCGATCGACTCGATCCCGTTGATGAAAGCAAAAGTGTTGGAATAGTTAGCAGAAGGTGTGAAAGTGATTTCCAAAGTGTCAGAATCCAGAGGTGCCAATAAATACTCCTTAACGATGTAAGCCAACAATATTGAAATCCATCTTCATCTTCGCCACCTTTCGCTCCACAATCAATAGGCGCCAAAGATTGTTGGCTCGAAACAAGAACAACATTGAAAATGAAAGAAAACCCAACAATGGAAATCACAATATGGTTCATCTTTTTCATGGAGAGAATCAAAATCCCAGTTGAGGAAAAAAAAAGTCAATAAACCTTCAATGGAGGCGTACAGGAAAGCAAAGGAAGACGATATTATCATTTGTATTATTGCTTCATCTTTCTTATTTTTCTTCAATTTGTTTTTCTTGTTTTGATTTCCATTTTTGGTTACTTGTTCAAACAAGATGATTGGTTGTTGACAAAATTAGTTGGGAATTGATGAATGAGAGTGAGAATCGAATCAAATGGTAATATGTTTGAATATAATATCATGTATCTGAAATAAGTGCTTAATAAAGAATATTTGAAGAAAAATAAAATGTATAATAAATTAATAATGTAGACATTTTTATACATTGAAGGACCGGAGTAACAGATGAGGACAATCCTCCTATGAAAATTTCAAATTAGTATATATTTTATATTTTATATTTTTTAATTTTTAATTGATAATTTGTTTTCACCTCCTAGAATTTATAAGTTATCTCCTAAAGTTTTAGAAGTTCCCCTCTCTAACATAAAATCATGGGTTATTCTCTGTTTCTACATGCATGATGAATAAATATTACAAATCTTTTTAGGTTATATATATATATATACACGAAGTTCGGATCAAACATTAAGGGAGTTAAATTATTGGATAAACTACGTATTTAGTACCTAAACTATTATTTTTGATCTGTTTTAATACCTAAATTTTCAATTTTTCAAAACCATACTTAAAGTTTAGTTTTTTGTTCATTTTAGTGCCCCGCCTTTAAGTTTTGGAAAAAATGAAAGTCTATGTGTCAAAACATGTTTAGTACCTAAATCATACTTAATTTTAGAAAAAAATATGAAAATTTAGGTACTAAACGAATTAAAACTGATAGTTTAGGTACTAAACACATTAAGTTTTTAACAATGGGGTATTAAAATAAAACAAAAAGTAAACTTTAGGTATGATTTTGAAAAATTGAAAATTTAAATACTAAAATCGACCAAAACTGATAATTTAAGTATTAAATGAGTAATTTACCCAAATTATTTGATATCAAAAGAACAAAATTCTTTTGAGTATTTAAATCTAAAAATTGAGAAAAAATGATCTTATTAATTAATATTTAAATTAAAACGACCTAAAATGTCACTATATTAAAAATTAAAAAGGAAAGATCTCTCTTTTTATATTTTTTTATTTTTAATATGAAAAATATATCTCATATTAAAATATGTATCGGAAGAAAATAAAGTATACGTGATTTAGTATATTATTTATGTTAATTTGGAATGAATAACGGATGATAAAATATTTTTGAATTATTTCTTATATATTTGAAACTTTATATTATTAGGAATATATAACGCATGTTTCAAACAACTTATATTATTCATATGGAAACTCCCTTGATCAGGGGGAGATAAAATTTGCAGAAATCTATTGCAAAAATTAAAGAATTAAACATGTGTCTTGTCTCATGATAATTTTAGGGTTTCTTTTTCCTTAAACCATCCGAAAAAGCTGGTGTGCACTGCAAAAACAGTATATACGATAAGCAGATCAGCCTATCAAAAAAAGATAATCCAACAAGAATGTAGGGAAGCCGTCATCTCCGTCTACCAAAGCATTCCAATGTCCAAAAATGGCGTTTCTTAACTCGCCAAATATAAACATATTGTTGTAGGATTTGACAAAACAGACAGTTATAAATGAATGGTCGAATAACGAACCAAATCCTTAACAGATGTTGTTTTGCCATTAAACTTCTCCAAAATCCTAACCATATCAACCTGGTTGGGCTGGTGGTGTTTCATTAACCAAATCGAAAGTCATCAAGGAGAGGGGGGGAAAACCCGAAAATTAGCTATTTTATATTCATCCAGAAACTCACCCCAATCCCTCATTTTTCGTCGGCTGTTTTTTTTCAGTTGATAAACGTGGCCGCCAAGAGACAATTAGCTTCTCTTTTTGTTCCATTTATTAGGGACAAGATACGAGGCAAAGGAGCTTATTGTTTTGTTTTTGTTTCCTTTTTCTTTTTGGGGTTTTCATTTATTATTTTTCTTCCATTGATTATATATAGGTTAAGAAAATTATTTTGTGACGAGAGAAAAAAATGGTGGACGTATCATCTTTATCATCTTCATCCTCGACATCGTTATATGAATCCGACACCGAAGAACTTCAGCATATGCCCTTGAAGCCAGTGATGAAAAGCAACCGATGTTTATCGAAGCAATTATCGATGTTCGAGACGTCCCGAAACATCGATTGGGAGCGAAGGAATCGGATCCTTCGTCAGGAAAGGAGCAAGAACACAGAGGAACCGCAACGGATGATGTCGGTGCCATCATTGATGAAAAACAGGAGATATCTGTCAAAGCAATTATCGATGTTGGAGACATCCAGGGACGTTGCGTGGGAGAGAAGGCGACGCCAGATCCTTCGTCAGGAAAAAGGGAAAAACGGTATCCCGGAAGCTAATGGAATAACCGACGAAGACTTGAATGAACTAAAAGGTTGCATCGAGCTCGGATTCGGATTCAACGAGGAAGCAGGCCAACAGCTTTGCAATACATTGCCCGCTTTAGACCTCTATTTCGCAGTAAATCGTCAGCTGTCCCCTAGCCCGGTTTCGACACCTCACAGCAGACGATCGTCATCGATATCATCGCTAAGGTCATCGTCTTTTGGAAGTCCTAAGAGTGATCAAGATTGGAAAATTTGCAGCCCAGGTAAATGTTTCAATGTCTAAGTACACACCTAAACCAAATGAAATATAAAACAAAGTATGATCATGGGCAAACCACAGTTTTAACTTCTGTTCATGCAATCATCTTTAAAACCATGATATTCGGAAAGTTTGAGATTCGAATCCCAATATTTGTAACTCCTTCCATAAATTTCCGAACTACGACCTCCTTCGTAAACATAAAATAACTCGGTCGGTTCATGCAATATTTGATCAATGCTACAATTTCCATATTCCAGGGGAAGATCCACAGCAAGTGAAGACAAAGCTAAGGCATTGGGCGCAAGCAGTGGCATGCTCCGTGATGCAGTCGTCTTGAAGTAGCGGGGTTGGCTTTGTACAGGTATAGACTCAGGAAAAAAATGAAAAAAAGAAAAAAAGCCAGGAGAGAGAGAGAGAGAGAGAAATTGACTTCATTATTTTAGGTTCTTTCTTTGATTAATATTCTTTTAAGAAAGAATTAAACAACTGTGTCATCAAGGAGAATGGGGGCACTTATAACATTTGGATATGAAGAAAAGTTTGGTTATACCCTAAGATTTACGACCAAATCTTGTTGTTTTTTTGTATTTTCTCTGATGTAAACACCAGCACTAGGCATTATGGCCTGGGAAATTTGGGCTGTGCGAAATGTAATTTTTAACTTCTACCATTTAATGATTTTAGTTGAAGTGGTTCAACGTAATGATTTAGATGAAGTGATATATAAGACATTTAGATCTCCTCTATTATGACTTGTTTATGCAACTTTTCAATATATGATTTCATTATTTTTGCACCATTCCTGTTTCAAACATCTTCATCCAAGATATGTAAATGTATAAGGACATGAGAGAATGATCACAAATGCAAATATTCGAATCCTGGGCCTATTTGATGCCAATTTCGAAAAGTGAATGCAACCATTTCAAAAGTTCATTTCATTCATAGACCTGTCTGTAGGGTGATAAACACTAAATTTAAAATAAAAGATGACCAAAGCTCTAATATCAATCACAAAGCAAGTAACAAACAAACTTGGACGGAAAGAAGAATAAACCAAGGGTATTAATCCTCTTCTAGGTTGACGGAGTCCTTGAACTTCCCGTACAAAACCTTTTTCAACTCGGCCATTTGTGCTACTACCGATTGTTTTTCCTCCTCAAGTTTTTCTAAGTTCTTGCTGCTCACTTCCGTCATCTCTTCTATCCTGGTCTCCACATCCTCCTTGGGGACATGAGCAAAGACTTCTCCGATTTGGAACCGTACTACTTCCTCATCAGTTAGAATCACTCATTACTAGCATCCTCCAGGTTATCGATTGCCTCCTGGGAAAAACAAAAGGAAAGAAAGAAAACTAATGTCAGAAAATGTAATAAAAAATCACATAAGAGTGTACCGACACATCAATGGAGTTAAAACAACAGTTTTAATGACTCTGAACAGTTTCCAAAACATGAAAATGATGACAACAGTTGCAGTCCTGTCAGGTTCAACAAAAAACTAAAAACATATAAAGTTTCAGGTTCTGCAGCAGGACATACCCATCTAGTTTAAGAAACAGGACAGTCGAAATCAAAGTTTAAAGCTAATCAATGAGAAGAGGCAGTTTCAAATTTTCATTTAACAGATCAAATCATTCACCATGCAACCACAGTTTCTAGCCAATTAACTATATACTATGTTTCAGAACTCGTATTTGTATAAAACTACTTGAGACTCGATTTCTCATATATTTGAAAAGTAAAAGGACATGAATTCCAATTTCCCAAACATCTGATAGAAATATCGAGTTCACAACAAAATAGACATCCATGAATTCAAGAGCTAATCATGAATGTTACATTTATGCGTTTGATCACACAACTTACAGACAATTATTGAAATCCAAATTCATTTTTTGGGACTGAAGTTCCCGAAAAGAATTCATCCAATACAGGCCAAAGTAATATTCACTAGTAAAGAGGGAATTTGGAAGAGGGGAAATGATATTGCAGAAGAAAAGAAGAGATTGAGAGATGAGAGAAGACTAATATCAGAATTTACATTAATGTCAGCTATAATATGGGCCCATAACATTGTCCAATTTAACCAAAATTGTTTCTTTTTTCCCAATTTAGCAACAGATTCAAATGTTAGTCGTTTGAATTCTCAAGATCCATCTGATTCAGAAAAACAAATTCAACAGCTCAGGTATTTAAGATAAGGATAAATGAAACAAATAGTGAGAGTAAAGAATCAACCTTTTTTGCCCAAATAAAAACAAACACTAATCCAACAAAACAATCACAAGTAAACGAACTTAACCACCAAGAAAGCCAAATTTTAAACTGGGTTCTCTGAAAATCTGAAGACCCGCTTAATTTTTTTTTTAATCTCAAATCCTAAAGGAAGAAAAAATATGAAGAGAAATTAAAAAAAAACAAAGCAGAATAATACCTTAGGAAACTTGATTTCATCTTCCAGCTCATGAAATCGATTGTTTAATCTTCCAAATTTGTTAATGTTCTGTTGATCTTCCCAAGTGACCTCCGTTTCAGATCCTCCGGTACCCTACGAAAACATTTTCCATTTGAGAACCGAAAAAGAAGATCGAAGCACAACTGAAATAAACAAAAGAATAAACAAAGAAGAGGGTTTTAGTAGGGTTTTGAAGAATACTCATACCTGTTGCATGTTTAGATCGATTATTTTTCATGAATAACAACGATGTACAATAGGATCAGCACTCACTCGGATTTGAAGCGACTAATTTTGGGCTCTCCTACGAAGAACGTATTCGGGCTGTTTGATTGCAACTTGAATTATCTGGTAGTCAACAAATCCAATTTTGCACAAAGTAATCAACAAAAATTACAGAAACACACTATCTTAATAGAAATACACACTAACTTAATCCAATTCGTGTAGTAAGGATATAAATTTTAATAATCAAAGAAGTAAGAGTTCAAGAGATGCTATTTTATATTTACTCTAAATTTATAAAAAAAAATGTAAATTCACAAATTACCATGTTTAGCCTAATGCTCTTTATGGCAATCCAATGCGACAAAAATGTCCACGTTAAAACACCGAAATTGTTGAAAATTTAGGTGAAGTTGGATGAAATTATTATTTAGGGTAAATTATATAAATGACAGTTGATTATATGATATTTTTTAGTCATTCGAGTATTAACGGTTTAAAATGATCATTTGTCTATTCATATGTTCTAATTTTTTTTTTAAGTTGACAATCTTTTGAGTTAGACGTTAATTTATTGATTGTGATATGTTAAAATCATATTTTAATGATAATTACTGGCATCGCTGTTGTTGTCAAGCACTGGCTCGACAATATAATATAAAAAGAAAGTCAGTTCACAAAATACAACTCAAACAATTCTACGATCATATTTTATCATATCATAGTCAACAAGTTAACATCCAACTTAGACGACCACCAATTTTTTAACAAAAATGACGAATTTGAAACATATGAATAATCGAATGATAATTTTGTAACTTTTAATAGTCTAAAGACTCAATAAAATAGTGTTCTATAATTAGAAAATTATTTTGTATTTTTTAACAATCAAATAACTCAACAAAACAATATTCTATCGTCAAAGAATCATTTGTGTACGTTACGAAGTTGAATTAATATAAAGTATGAAAAAAACTATGTTGAATTTAAGGATGATAAAATATTTTTTTATAAGTACGAAAGTAAAAAAACAAAACTCACAAACCGAAAATACTTTCCGAGTAATTTCATTTGGCCCAAAACAAAAAAGGCCTTAACTCGGAGCCGCTTTCTAGGAATTTTCTTCATGTGAAGGGCCCACTACGTTTGTGGCCATTACTTCCCCACAATTTCCAATAAATTAATGACTCAAATTTCACGATCTAAATATAAAGTTTTTTTTCACACAATTTTATTTTGTAAAAAATATTTTATAATATTAAAATAATTTATAGATTAATGATTTTTTTAAAAAATTGATATATTTGAGGTAAATACAAAATAATATTTATTCGATCAACCAATTGACAACATCACTCATACTTTTGTTGTTGCTTTGACCCATAATTTATAAAGAGATTAATAAATCTTTTAACCACTTAGTTCAATTTTCTCGTGCTATTTTTAAAATCAAAATTATAAGATAAAGGACATTCTCGTCAAAACTGGATATTATCCAAATAAGGGGTGAAAACCAAATGCTTTACTTTAAAGAAAAAATAAATAAATTTTATTTTTTACATTATAAATAAAATAAGTAAATTGCATTGTCTTATAATATCACAAGAATAATAAAATATCATAAATTTTAAAATTTTAAATTTAAATTAGATATTAAAGTAAGATCTTTCCCGGATCCAACCAAGGGAAAATACCAAATATTTTTAAAAGAATCTAATAGGGATAAAAGAAAAAATAATTATATATATCTTACATAAAAATAGCATATATGTTTATTTTTTAAAAGAGTATATAATTAAATTAAAATTATATATATACAATTAAACTAAAATTGAAAATTATGTGTAATATTATATATTAAATCAAATTTAATATATAAATTTAAAATTTATATCCCCAATCAGTTATATTCGGCGCAATTTCATTACCATACAAGGAAATAGTATTTTGCTTACTTTTAAATAATATAGTTTCTTATTTTTATAATATAAAATGTTAATACAATTTAATTTTGTATTATAGAGGGGAGGATTATATATATATATATATATATATATATATATATATATATATATCTGTTTAAGTATATTTTAAAAAATAAAAAATAATTTTTAAATAATAAGAAAATAGAAATGTTATAAGTTTTAGAATTTAAACTTCATCAAAATATACAAAATAACTCCTAAATATTGAAAAATATTTTTATTTTATATAACATAAAATAAATGTTCCTGTTCCTCCCTTTGTTAATTCCAAAAACAAAAAAAATAATCGAATTTCTGTCGCCGAATCTTTCTAAAAATTGTTGAAAAATAAATAAAATAATTGTAAGGAAAAAGTATTTATTTTATAAACCAAAAATAAATAGAGCCCCCCGCCCCCCAACCCCAAAAAAAAAATCCACCTCCAGTTCACTCTATATATAGAAAGCAGAGTATTTCAGGCTTCACAATCCATACCCTTTCATCTTCAATCCTCAATTTGCCTTTCCGTTATCTCTTCTCTTCAAAGTTCTCAACTTTTTACTCATTTTGAGGTAGATTTCTCTGTGGGATTTACTTGGTTTCTCTCACATTCCCTGTTTCAGTCATCTGTTTATAAAGTATTCTTTCTCTCCATTTTATCCATGTATTGTTTGTTGTTTATAAATGCTCATTGTCATTATTCATGGCTCAAAGTTTTCTGTGTTTGTTTTAAATTTCATGCTTATTGACCCTCTGCTTCGCATTTTTGGATTCTCTACTGCCATTCTTTGAAGCTAAAGAGATTCATTCATTTTCTTTTGAAATTTGTGCTTGATTTTCCCTCTTTATGCATAATTGAGAATTTCAGGAAATTATCTGGTTTTAGCAGTAACTCGTATTGCTTTAAGATCTGTTTGTCAAGTTTCTTAAGAAAATGTAGAGATTTACTAGTCAGGATATATTTCTTAAACTTTGGAGGATTTCAGTGACTTATTTTTTTCACGTTTCCGAATTAGGACTTATTAATTTAATAATTATTTGGCTTGCTAATATAGAATTCTTCATCAGATTTGGATTTACGATCTAAAGGAATGCATTTAGGACTCTTCTATATGAAAGCTTGAATTTTTATATCCTTAAAGTTTACTTTGATACTTATCTTCTGTCTTTTTAATACTCGGAGATTCTTTACACCTTTAAATTGTAAATTTGTTGCATTTTCAACTTGTTATTTTATCTTTTTTATATTCGTTTGGTCATTCTTGAATGGCCATACATGATGGTATATAACATTAATGTGGTTATTAGTTTCATACATATAAATTGTAGGTTTGTAACTAATGGAGGTTTAATAATCGAGTATATGCAGGATGGGAAGTTCTGATGGGACCAAATATGGTGCTTACACCTATGATGCCCTGGAGAGGGAGCCTTACTGGCCCTCCGAGAAACTCCGCATTTCCATCACTGGTGCCGGTGGGTTCATTGCTTCCCACATTGCTCGACGTCTCAAGAGTGAAGGCCATTACATCATTGCTTCTGACTGGAAGAAGAACGAACACATGACAGAAGACATGTTTTGTCATGAATTTCATCTTGTCGATCTCCGAGTCATGGAGAATTGCTTGAAGGTTACTAAGGGAGTGGATCACGTTTTCAACCTCGCTGCTGATATGGGCGGTATGGGTTTCATTCAGTCAAACCACTCTGTCATTATGTACAACAACACAATGATCAGTTTCAACATGCTAGAGGCTGCTAGGATCAGTGGAGTTAAGAGGTTTGTTGGATTGGTGCATTGTGTTTTCCATTTTATTCATTTCAATTCCATTTAAAGTTTACATATGGTTTAAACTCGATATCTTGGTCTGTATAGGTTTTTCTATGCCTCTAGTGCTTGTATCTACCCTGAATTTAAGCAGTTGGAAACTAATGTGAGCTTGAAAGAATCGGATGCCTGGCCTGCTGAGGTTTGTGACTCGTGGTCATTAACTACTATTATCTGGTAATCTTATGCTTGATTGATCAGTGTGATAGATTTTCACTTCTTAAATGTCGGTTTTAGCCTCAAGATGCTTATGGCTTGGAAAAGCTTGCAACTGAGGAGTTGTGCAAGCACTACACGAAAGATTTTGGAATTGAGTGCCGTATTGGAAGGTTTCACAACATTTATGGCCCTTTTGGAACATGGAAAGGTGAATTCTTTTCCTTTGGTGAGCGCTTATTTATGTTGCTGCTTTTGGAACTTACTAAATTCGTCTGCTTCCATGTATCGTCTTATAGGTGGAAGGGAGAAGGCTCCAGCTGCATTTTGCAGAAAGGCCATTACTTCCATCGACAAGTTTGAGATGTGGGGAGATGGTCTTCAAACCCGATCTTTCACCTTCATTGATGAATGTGTTGAAGGTGTACTTAGGTAAAACTTTGCATTTTTTATATTTCCTCCAGCCAAAACTCAATACTTTAGTCAACAATTTAAAGGGAAAGTCCAAAATTTTTTGGTTTAATAAATGTTGATCTGCATGGACTGGCTTATACTAAAAATTAGTGAGGAATATGTTATTTGTATAGTGTGTTTCTACTTTATAGCCATGTTTTTGGATTGTCAATACCGTGTTATGTTTTAGACAAAAACTTATAGATATCAGCTTGAAATTGATATTATAGTTTTGAATGTGAAAATACGATTATTACTGCTTAAACTTTTTAAAATGGATGTCTTTAGGTTGACCAAGTCGGATTTCCATGAACCTGTGAACATCGGAAGTGATGAGATGGTTAGCATGAATGAGATGGCAGAGATTGTTCTTAGCTTTGAGGATAAAAAGCTTCCAATTCATCACATACCTGGTCCAGAGGGTGTCCGTGGTCGTAATTCAGACAACACATTGATCAAAGAAAAACTCGGTTGGGCTCCTACAATGAGGTTGAAGGTAACTGCATTCCTGACCTTCAACTCCAGCAAGTGTTGTGATTGATTTGCCCATCAAGATAAGTGCGAAGTCATCCTTTTTCACCTATGGCATATTTTTACTGTACTGTTTTGTAGGATGGGCTGAGAATCACCTACTTCTGGATCAAGGAACAAATCGAGAACGAGAAGGCTCAAGGCATTGACCTGTCGGTCTACGGGTCATCTAAGGTCGTGGGAACTCAAGCTCCCGTCCAGCTGGGCTCACTCCGTGCAGCCGATGGCAAAGAATAAAGAAGTAAAGCTCGTGTAGTTTCTTTAAAGCCAAGTTTTATTGGCACTGAATGTGGGAACGCATAATCCGGTTTTTACTATTTATTTTTGGTATTGTAGTTTGTGTACTATTGTTCATTTGTTGAAGGGGAAAGCGTTTAAGCTTCCCACTGTATTCAAATTTAGCTTTTCATGGTTACCTCACTGTTGTAAGATGATATCCAAGTCTTTTTAGCCTTTAAATAAAATATCATTTCTTTGTTTGAGTATATTCGTAATGGATTCGCACTTATGAACCATATGCTTGATTGGTATCTGTGGACTTGATTGATTCGTGGTTGTTTCGAAGTCGACTGGTTATCTAAAGGCAGTGCAAGTTGCAGGTTTTTTTTGGCATTCATTGGTAGTCCCCTTGAATGTTTCATGCTATGGATTACAGTAATCCATTGAAGAAAGTATTTTGAGCTAACCTTTTGTACCTTTTAGGGGTCATACCTGGGGCTGAAATGAATGGTGACATTGAAACCATGGGAATCCAATCAGTGGTTCAATTTCAAATGCTGCTCTGAGGATAAAATAGCAGACGTGGCTAAATTGAAAGAGCTCAGCTTCACAACAAAAGCTGAAACGTAGGTCATCTCGTTTATGTGGTAGCATTAGCATTGGCGTCATCCCCCCCCCCGGGGAAAATGACAGAACATCGAGCAATTGGCTTTCAGCTCAGCCCCACCATGTGCTGGATATCTGATTTGTCCTTTTTGTCTGCTGATATGTAGTACAGTACGACCCGTGAGAAAAAAATGTACAGAGAACTAAAAACTAATTCCGACCATAATATTCGATTCGGTTTTAGTAGATTGGGATTGATTTTAGTTCGATTATTACTTAGTATATTGAGTTGAATTATGGTTCACATCGTGTCATGTAAAGCAGAATTTTATATTAGTCGATTTTTTTAAGTATTTAAATATAATAGTTTAAACTTATATTTATCGAATAATTAAAGACAAATACTTGAATCATAAATGATTCCTTAACCCGAGCTATTAACTAGGGGTGAGCAACGAAATCGAGAAAATCGAAAAATCGATACGAACCGAGTAAAACGGTTAGATTCGGTTCGGTTCGATTTGGCATTATACGGTTAAATTTTCGGTTCGGTTTAAAATCTCAATTCTTTTGATTCGGTTCGGTTCGAGTTTTCCATATGGAACTTATTTGTTCCATGTTAAACCAAATAGGCAAATTTTTTTAAAAAAAATTATAGTTTCAAGTGATTTTTTCGTTGAAAAACCGGTAAACCGAAAAACCCGAACCGTTAAAAAACCGAACCGATCTAAAAAATCGGTTTCGGTTTTTTTAACCATTCGGTCTCGGTTTAAATTTTGAAAAACCGTTTATTTCGGTTTGATTCAATTTTTGATAAAAAACCGAACCGAACCGAATACACCCCTACTATTAACTTTTAACTTGTGCGAGTTTCCAGAACAGGCTTGATGTTCGTATAACCCTAGAAAGTAATATATCAATCCAAAAGGGCCATAAAATCATTGGATATACTGCTGTAATGTGGTTTAATAGTATGTGGCAGTAATGGTGATAAAACTAGTTTCTGAATCAAAGATTCAACATACACCTCATCAACATGTATTCAATATAGATAGGCTGATAATTATAAACATAAGAACCACTCTGCAGAGAAGTAAATGCCGGATAAATATGAACAGACTCCATGACTTGAAGAACCGGGTCCATAGTTCAATTCACTCCCTTAATTGTCAAGGTCACAAAAGATGGGATTAGCTTCAAGCTGTTCGGCTAACTTCTCGAGGATGTCTTTCACGAATTCTCTGAATTCGTCGTCCGCTCGTGCAACACTCTTCTCGTTCTCTATTTCGGAAAATACCGCATCATAGAGAAGAATAACAGCTTCATTGGATTCCGATGGTGGCAAGCCGAGATCATCTCCATGTTTCTCTAGGAAACTCCTGATTAGTTTTGTCTTATGTAGCTCATCTTTTTCGTTCTTTGTTTCCGAAAAAAGCCTCTCTTCGACATGATTGAATTGCTTTTCGTCTGCCAAGAGCTGCAATGTTTAAAGTTGTAGACATCAGAATTCATCCTTGAGTTCAAAAACTTGATAATTTCTCAACAACAATGAAACACCAATTCTCCTACTATATTGGATCAACCAAGTTAAATATTCAAGTTTTTCCACTCTGTGTTACTCGTATTTGGGAGTGAGTATCAGACAAGAGTATAAATCTGACAAAGACATCTTCTTCCATGTATTTGGTGAGGCCCTCAAGGATCATATTCCGATATCCATGTCCAGGTATGCATCAAATACGAGTGTTTTAAGGAAAAAAGAGTGGAAGCAGTGTAGCTTCCGCTTATCCCTTACGAATGGAAATTTGAGGTTAAGCCATTTGGATGGATGCAACCCATCTCCCTTTCTTTCTCGAATGATTAGAAACTTTTAAGTAGCGATTACATGCTGAAATTAGAAAAACATATGCTCTTCTATCTTCATATTACTACAAATATAAGAAGCAAAAGATCGTGTTAGTGATCTACCTTTCTTAGCTCAGAACCATTGACAACATTGATGTTATGTATGACAACAACATGCTTTTCAGACAATGCATCAGCAGTGTCTTGCAGAATTGGCTGAAGTAATTCGGCAAATTGTGATTGGCCCAGTTCTTCTTCCCCTCGGCCCCATGCTTTTTCAAGATGTCATTCAACATAGGAAATTCTGTTAAATATTCGGAACCAACACAAAAATTAGATTCCAATACTACGAGAGTCACCTAAGGAACAGGTTAATGCACTATTTATTTGATCATTCTGGGGTTCAAGTTACGGTGTCAAGCATGTCATTTAGAATGACGAGGAGACGAACACAAAATAGACACAGGGTAATAGATCAAAGATCTAGTAAGATCCCTGAACCAAGTTAAATTCATGAACACGATGTTCAACTTTTTGCTGCATAATCACTTCATCTGATGTAAGAAGTTCACTTCTCACATAGCATCTCATTTTGGTGTTAAACTTACTATGTCAAACATGTCATCTAGAATGACGACATGTCGATCGAAGACCTTACAGATCCGCAACAACTTTACATTAAAAACAACATAAGAAAATGATATGGGAATGGAAAAAGGAACCTGAAAATGGAGGAATCCCCATTTCAACGCCCATATGAACAAGTGCATTTCTTATCTCACTCTTGCAAATCTTCCCTTTATCTTCAATATCCATATCGGTAAACAAATTCTCTGCTAACATAGCATAATCATCTTCATCCTACAGAAACATCTTCAAAGTATTCCCATCCAATATTGACACCACTAATGGATCATCTAAACAAATCAACTAAAAACAATTTCAATAATTTAAATCAAAATAACCCAAAAAAGTTTATAGTTTAGTCAAAATAACCTGAAAGAACAGAAGAAACCCAGATCATAAAATCGCCAAACAGTCTAAAGTTTTTCCAAAAGGTTTAACTTTTACATATATAAATATCTTAACGACAAAGAAGTCGAAATTGACTTGATCATCAGTTACCTTTCATCTCATCAGCAATGGCAGAGATGTAATCGGAGAGAAACTTGAACGCTTTATCTTTTTCGAACTCTTTCTGCCGGAACATGACGTTGTCATCATGATCGTCGGATCCTGCGATGACACGAGAAAGAGCGGAAGCTTTAAGGTTTTGAGGCAATGAGAAGTCAAAGAGAGAACTGGAAGCTTTAGAGTCAGCGATTTCAAGGAGTTGAGATCCACTGAAGACGCCGTTAAGTTCAGGTAAAAAGTGATTGAATGATCGGAGACAGGTTCCGTCAAGCACCGTTAAACCTGTTTCCGACATCGTAAGAAAGAGAACAGAGTTAGAGGGGATTCAGTTTCGGACAATGTGAAGATGTTTTGTTCAATTTACAATTTTGGTTTTATAGTTCGAGTCTGTGATTATAGTTTAGGACTTGTATTTTACTAAAAATATCAGAAATGGCATTTCCGATTATTCAATTATGTTTAGTTTTTGAAAGTTTTTATGTTGGATAAATTTCATTTTATTATTCGATTAGGATAATTGAATTTGTATCAGTTGAAAAAAGTTACAAAGTGTTATTTTAAATTTAATAAATTAAATTATGAACATGATTTTATTAAACAATGTTATAAAAAAATCCAATAGATATTTAACATGTTAACATACCAATTTTTGTACGTTTCTTCCTTCTATTTTAGATTTTTATATTACTATATCAACTCATTTTCTTCGTCTTTTATTAATAAACGATGATATTAATTTTAAAGTTGATTGTCAATTTTGGTATCTCTTATTTCTTTTTTATTTTTATTTCATTTTTTTAATAATTATATCTTTATGATAATATTTTCTTTCTTTTTTTGATCTTTTGACATATTGTTTATTTTAATTATCAATTGTTTAATCGTTGTTTTTATTTATATTTTTCTCTAAATTAGATTTGATATACCTCGACTGATCAATGCAATACTTTTTTATTATTAAATTGATATTCCATGTTTTGAATCATCATATTAGATTTGAATATATGATTTGCGTTCATGAATAGCTTTCTCACACCATTTGACTTTGATTTATAGTATATCGATGATCTTTTAGTAGTTTGATTCTCTTTTGTGGGTTGTTTGTCGATGCGGTTAGATTTATTCATATATATTTTTTATTTGATTTTTTTGTTAAATTTTTTAATTTTTTCTTTTATGGTACTTGTGTAATCTTAAGCATCTAGTTTGTTGTGTCCATGATTATAGGAAAATGTCCTAATTATTTATTTAATACTAAAATACAATAATTTTATAAAAGTATTTTAAATAAATTTAGGTGGCACCCATGTTCCTTTTATGTGAAAATGATAATCCAAATAATAAAGTGTAGTTTTTTGTAATTTACAAGGAAAAGAGGGTAAAGATAAATAACGAGTATATGCGGTTTTAGGTTGGGGTGAGTGTCGTAACCGTCTTTCGGTTGGGCCCCGGAATTGGGCTTCGACTTAGGAAAATGGATTGGAGTCGCCACCGATCATTTATTTAAAAATAAATGGGTTGATCGGATACCCTATTTCTTACCTGATCTGCGTCTTACCAGAAATATGTCGGGCTCGGGAGTCGGTTACGGTCAAGGAAAGATTAGCACCCTTGAACCGCCCTTTCGGTACTACGTAATTTCCAGTTGTCTTAATTAAGAAAAATAACAAGTTAAATT